CAGCAGCAGTCTCTACAGTGGCTCCAAATTACTGCTCGGTTTTACATGCAAAGGGAAGAAAATGCCTTTGAAATTTCGCTGGACAATCGCTTTTCTGGTTGTTACTCTAAGCCTGTGTTTTGCCGACGATGACCACGAAATGGAGGAGTTCCTGAAGCGGGAGCATTCCCTTTCCAAGCCTTACCAAGGTACCTGTGGTACAGGAGGGGGCGCGGGCTGAGGGGCGAGGACAGATATTTCCAGAATAATGTACTCACTCATGAACTCGTGCACGCACTAGCCGCTTTTCTGAGATGAAATCACTCTATTTCTCACGCAACTCGTCTAGTGGCATTGTCATAGTGACATACTCGGTATATATTTTGTGCTTTCTTATCTTTCATGCGCGTGTCCCCCTCCCACTCACTGACAAAGCACTTTGATCTCAGGCTCAGTGAGCTGTGTTTTGCTGCCATTATAATGGGTGCTGATTGTTTTACCAGGTGTGGGCTCCTCAAGCTCCTCCCACTGGGAGCTGATGGGCGATGCCATGGTAACCACCGAGCAGGTGCGCCTGACACCTGACATGCAGAGCAGACAGGGGGCGATATGGAGCCGCATTGTGAGTAAAGGCTGCACTGTGTACAAGTTTGCATACTCCCAGTATACTGCATGAGCAGCAAGTCTGGTGACTGAGTTATTTCCTTGACTTAACTGCTTTAGGTGCTTAAAAAAAAGTTACAATCACTTTTCATCATCTAACTCGATGCTAAGTGTCGGATGCAGTGGTGTAAAGCACGCTGTCACTGGACTCCAGAACAGTGGAGTCTGGTAATCCGATGGTAATCCGATTCTGGGTTTGGCTGTTTCCAGGAGAACGGTGATTGTCGGACTGTATTGGGCCAGGTATAAAGGTTGGTGGAGGGGCGATTATGGTGTGGGGTTGTTTTTCAGGAGTTATTTCCAGTGAAAGGAACTCTTAATGCTTCATCATACCAATCCATTTTGAACTATATCATGCTCCCAGCTTTGTGGGAACGTGACTGCACACCAGTGGATAAAGCGAGGTCCATGAAGACGAACAAGTGTGGTCTGGATGAACTTGACTGGCCTGCGCAGAGTCCTGACCTCAACCCAGTAGATGACCTTTGGGGTGAATTCGAGGGGGAACTGTGAGCAAAAATTGTGCAAAAATCAGTGTCTGAGCTCACAAATGAGCTTCTGGACGAATGACCAGAAATTCCCATAATCACTCCTAAACCTTGTAGAAAACCTTCACAGAAGAGTAAAGGCTGTTAAAGCTGCAACAGCTGGGCCGAAATCATATTAAACCCCTATGGATTAAAAATGGGATGTCACCCAAGTTCATATGTGTGTGAAGACAGACGACCCAATACCTTTGGCAATATATTGTGTCGTTTCAGCTGTACTTGTAACAGCAGGTTCAAATAAAAAAGAGTAGAGCTACCTCTGTATTTACATTTACAGTAAGAGCCAGAGACACAAGCTGCAGATGGAGAGGTGAGGGTTAGTTTGAAATCCTGCAGGGTAATTTCCACTGTGTTGCCTGATGAAGTTAAACAGACTCGTGCACTCTGTTTCCTGTTTATAAGGTTTACTTAGCTACAGCAACGCAGGCTAACACCCCAGTTAAATGTATGCCCTCCTTTACATTTTCCAAAGAGTGGGCCAAATTGGAGTCATTGCTGGGCCAATTCTGACCCCTGGGCCTTATGTTTCACACCCCTGCTCCATAGTAAAGCACAAATGTTTCTTCCACTTTCAGTAGTTGCTGCAAGAAACATTGAAGGTTTAGACCTATAGTTATTGTACAAATGCATGCGATGACTGTGTGGTCGTGATAAGAGCTGCTGTACACTGACACGAACTGGGTGATAACCACAGCCTGTCTTCAGTGAGCGAGGCTTTACTACGTTTTCAGTTTAAGTTGTTTTGTTCTGGAACTGTTTTGACTTTAAAAAATGGGCTTTTGACATTGTTATGCTCAGTCACAATATGATGGTAATATTTGGTTTTAAGAATTGGTTAGATGTGGTTCATTACAGTAAGAAGCTTGACTGCTTGCCCACTATCATCTTTACTTTAACCTTGCTGATTTTATCTCACACTGGTAAACAAACATCCTCACCGTCTGCTGCTTGTGACTGTGGTTGGGTTAAAAACCTCATGCATCTGCCTCAATCTTAGTAGACTCGCTAAAATGATGAAGTCTGCTTCTATTTTCCTTTCCTCTTAGCTTGACCTCAACCCATCCTTAAGTGTTGTCCATGCAGTCACCTCACCTACACCTAATAAAGCTCTATATCAAATGTAGCAGGCAGTGAAACATTATTTACTCAAAAGGAAACCAGACTGTGGAACAGTACTAGGCCTACCAAAGACTTTTAACTTATACTTCTGTAGCTTATTGGACTTGTTGTGTTTTAGCCCTGCCATCTGAAGGACTGGGAGGTGCAGGTGCACTTTAAAATTCACGGGCAAGGAAAGAAGAACCTGAACGGTGACGGGTTGGCCATTTGGTACACGAAGGAACGCATGCAGAAAGGTAAGCACTACAGGATGAAATTAAAACCAACCATGGTGCTAAATAAACTACAAGAACTAGTGTTTATATGTTACCAGCACTGTCTTTAAATCCTTTTCCAGGGCCTGTTTTTGGAAATAAGGACAACTTCACCGGCTTGGGCGTTTTTGTGGACACATACCCCAATGAGGAGAAACACATAGAGGTGCGCTGCTGTGGTTCTGATTACTGTGTGGGTGCACTGTGGGATTAACAGTTTATGTAAAAGGGGCTGTATTTTTCTTCTTTTGTGCATACAATTGGATACAGGCGCAGAAGAAGAGATACACTCCTCGCACACAGGTAACCAGTGTTTTTAACATCTGACCCTCTCCCTATGATCCGGCCTCCACTCTCGTTTAACCCTTTTTCTCCCCTCCCCCCGTGGTTTGTTTGTGGTTACAGCTGGGTCATACTTAATAAAATGTTATGAAATTACACAAAACAATCACATAATAGGAAGTGAGCCTGCATGTCCTAATTGTTCTCCATTTTATTATTTCTTCTTCTCCTTTAGCCCTTTTTCTTTTTCCCAGCTTGCTGCTGTCACTGTAGTCATACTAATGTGGATTCACTCTTGCTAAAATGCCCTGTTCCCTCTCTGCTTTTCCTCCTGTGACCACAAGAGGATCTTCCCCTTTGTCCTGGCAATGGTGGGGAATGGCACCATCAGCTACGACCACGAGCGGGATGGCCGGCCCACAGAGCTGGGTGGCTGCAACGCCATGGTGCGCAACCTCAAGCACGATAGCTTCCTCTTCATCCGATACGTCCGCCGCAGGCTCACGGTGAGAGACACAGCCTTTGAATCATTTTGGCGTGCAGGAAAAAGCAGCTTGTATCATATAAGTTCATTCTAAGTGGTGAACCTTAGAAGTAAATGGAAATGTGTCGCCCAGGTGATGATAGATATCGACGGGCAGCATGAATGGAGGGACTGCCTGGACCTACCTGGCGTGCGGTTGCCACAAGGCTATTATTTTGGCGCTTCAGCAATCACTGGAGATCTCTCAGGTAAACAAGTGCAGAGTAATGCAATGGCTGGTTTTAGCTTTATCTTTTAAAACTGTTGTCGTGTGCTTTAGAGGTCATGTGTGGCATTGAGCCAACTGCAAGACGCAGAAACAATGGAATGAAGTGAAATCGAGCCTTTATTTAATAAAGGAAAAACATAGGGAGAGACCGACAGAAAAAACTCAGTGAACACTCTGAGAGTAATGGATTCAAAAAAGAGACGGAAACACAAAAAAACAGAGACCACAGAGGAGGTTAACGGATGCAGTGAAGGCCGACATGCAGAGGGTTGGTGTGTGAGGAGAGGATGGTAGAGATGGAGACAGATCTGCTGTGGTGAACTATAAAGGGAGCAGCTGGAAAAAGAAGAAGTTTAAATGTGAAAATCCACTTCTGCAAAGAATTAGGGAAACATTTGATCATCACAGTCTAACACCAAGTAGCAGACCTGTCAGTTCTCACGCCACCATCATGCAGAAAAGAGTATATTTTGTAAAACTGTAGTAAAAATGAGATTAGGAAACGTAAAAATATGAAGAAAAAAGAAACTAGATGCTGTTTATTGTCGTTATCTGGCCTTGTGTAACAGGACACTCTACTCAGATATTAAAACTCTAAATTATGGCCTCAGGGCTGTGAATATTTAGCGCTGCGAGCTGGGATTTTAACCTTTAAGTCAGCAGTTTAGTCGTGAAAATAATGATCTCACCATCGATTCACAACGCCAGCTTCACTTGAGCTGAATTACAGTGCAAGAAGACTCCTAGAACTCCATATTAGCTTCTAATCTCTGGGTTTCTGTTTAACTTTTTCACATTTCCATTTGCTGATTCTTACTTAATAGATAACCATGATATAATTTCTATGAAACTCTACCAACTGACGGTGCTGCGGAGCAAAAAGGAAGAAGAGGAGGAAGAAGACGTGATAACCATACCCAGTGTAGACAACATGGAGCTCATCAGATGTGAGATAACACAGTCACGCATCACTTAGTGGAGTTTCCATCAGAGGGTGTGCTTTTCGCTCACTGCTGTGCTCTCTTTCAGTGGGTCAGAGTGATGAGGGGATGAGCGGAATAGCCATTTTCTTCACCGTGCTCTTTTCCATGCTGGGGTGCATCTTCCTCATCGTTATCGGCCTGGTGGTGTACAGCCACTGGAACGAGAACAGACGCAAGCGCTTCTACTGAGGACAACAACAAAGCAGACAGCGATTGTAAAAGCCATCATGGTCTGCGGACACAACTGCACTGAAAGTGAGACGCTGCTGTCAGCTGGCACTGGTTTGTTTTTGTTTTGTTTTTTTTTAATCCCGAGGACAACTCAGTTTGACAGGAAGTGGAGTGGATGTATTCCCTGCTACACAAAAAGCCATACTACAACTTTGCCATCAGTAGCCATGAACCAATAGGAGGATCTCAATTCACACTTTGTCCCCCCCCCGGTTGACGCGCACCAACTCGGCCTTACCATCTCCACCTCTGTACCTGATACAAAGCAGATGTGCAGCACCGTCACTGACTTCTCATGAGCAGCTATTTTTTTGTGTTTTGGTACTGTTTGCTGGATTTGGAGGATATTTTTTTCACTGGTTTTCACATCACTGATGTTGATTTTGCAGCTTTAAGAAATCTACTTAAGTAAGCTGATGTGTTCCTGCTTGCAAGTCCATTAACTACCTGCAGTACAAGGCGCTAACCAAATTAGCAACAGCCACTGATCCGCTTCCTTGCATTAGAAAAGCCTCTCAGTTTATACTGTGCTGTATTGTGTGCTCTATATTCTTATTGTTGTTTTAGCATGCATGGCGTTTGTGTGGGTTAGTCTGTGATCTGCTTTGTTAACATCATGTGTGAGCTTTTAGCCGTTCTATCTACACATAGCATGTGTCAATGGCAGCGATCGGTGTGTTTCAGGGAAATTATCAATTTAACTCAGTTGCTTTGTCAAAACGCTTATTTATATTTCATACCTTTACCCTAGTCTGTGTGTGCATTTAAAAAAATGTTTTTTTATTTTCACTACTGCTATTTTATGTTTGTTTTATTTTATAAGAAGATGGTTCTTTCAGCCACTTCTCTTTTTCTATTTAGCACGTCACACCCTTCCTGACTCCACCCTCTCATTTACACCACACGTCATCATATCTCTTAGGTGGTGCTTTTTATTTATTGTGCAGTCTTTGGAAACTTCATTTGTTTCTGTAACCCAGCGGTCCCCAACCTTTTTTGCGCCACGGACCGGTTTATGCCCGAGAATATTTTCACGGACCGGCCTTTAAGGTGTCGCGGATAGATACAACAAAATAAAACTAGTACTGGTACCGAAAAAAAGATTTATTCATAACACACGTGAAAAGACCCAGGAAAACCGAGTTAACGATAAAAACAATAACAAAATAACGCTGAAAACCGATAAAAACCCTGAAAACCATACATTTCACACCTGAGCTTCAACTCTCGCGGCCCGGTACCAAACGACTCACGGACCGGTACCGGTCTGAGGCCCGGGGGTTGAGGACCGCTGCTGTAACCACTTTATCCACCGCACTACCTTATTTATGTTTTTTAAATGTTTTTTTATGAAACTGTGCCTCATGTATGCAGTCAGTGACTTAGGATTTACAATAAATTTAGCAGTTTTTATCTTGCTTCTGTGTCCTGAACTGTTTGATGTATTTAATGTCATGGAGGGTAGTGAGCACTGTTACGATGGCTCACTGCATTTTTAAGGTTTTTACACATTTATGAGTAGAGCCCTACTATTGTCATTGTTTACGGCTATGCCACCCTGAACACGCCCAATCTCAGAAGCTAAATGATAAATGAAGTGGTTCTTGTATAGTGCTTTCTAAGAGCTTTCTATCTAACATCCACACTCCAATGGATGCATCAGAGAGCAGGATACCCAAGGATACTTTGGGACGCGGCACAATTTTCCAGTGTTAGCAGATGACTCGCTGTACCTCCCCAACCAGATTTAGGCCTGGTTTGTACTGCCTAGGAGTACCAGGTGCGGTAAGCTTGGGGTGGCTCAGGAGGTGGAGTGTGTCATCAAGTGTGAATGTTAGATAGAAAGCTCTTAGGTCTAGAAAAAGTTCTTATGTGAATGAGGCAAGTTGTATAAAGTACTTGGAGTGCTCGAGTAAAAAAGCACTATAAAAGAGCCCATCCTTTTACCGTACTATTTACACATGTCTGTAGCTGGGGCACAGAAAACCCATTTTTCCTTTTTTTCTATTTTATTTCTGACTGTAGGAGGGTTTCTTTACACACCAATATTCTCCAGGTATCTAAAAATCAAGGATCATAAACCTTAATGACTACAGACCCAATGTTCTGACCTCTGTAGTTATAAAGAGTGCCTTTTGCTGTCATATCTCCCTGACCCCATCTCAGACTCCCTGTAGTTTGCCTATAAAGCCAGCGTGCTGGTAGATGATCTCCATGAGTATGCAGTTAACATGGCACTGCACTTTATTCTCCAGCACCTGAACTTTACAGGAACTTTTTCCAGGTTACTTCATGGACTATTTCCACTTCCAACACCATCATGCAGGACAAGCCGTCCCAGTTGAATGTACCTGCAGCTGCATCGCTGACTTCCTGCCTGACAGGAGGCAGAAGCATGTGAAACTGCCAGACATATGATGGGCTCTCCGTCTGTCAGCACTGGTTCCCCTTAAGGCTTAATATGGTGATCTGTTGTAAATACAACAACCTGGAGCTTAGTGCTGTCAAAACAGTGGAGGTGATTGTGGATTACTACCAGCGCCTACAGACTTCATCTCTCTATATCGCTGCCCAGTTGACAGTGAAATCTTTCCACTTCCTGGGAACCGCCATCTGCCAGAATTTAAAGCAGGAGCTAAAAATCAGCTTCCTCATCAAGAATGCACAGCAGAAGATGCACTACAAACGGCAGGGACTAAGGAAGGCTGCAGCGTGTTATCAGTTTTGCCAAAAAGGTGACTAGCTACAATCTGCCTTCTCTATAGAGCTATACACCACCAGGACGCTGAGATGGGTCAAAGTTTATGTCTGTTTAAGTTTATTCCTCCTCATGACACCGATCAATGCAAAAAACTTGAAGGGCAAGTTGCTACGGTATGGGTTACTTTCCAATTCAGAGCTCTGGTATAGAAACTGTATTGACTTTAGTTCATAGTGATTCAGCTATAATTTAATATATAATTTCAAAGTCTGTCCTAAATGATAGAACATCATAACATCAGTGGGGAGGTCTGATGCCTTAATGTGACTGGGGTTTGTTGGCAGGATGTCAATTTGGTTGCAAATTTGTGAACTGAATTCATTTCAATGAATCAGTTTCATTCATGAACATACAATTCAGCATTTAGAAACTTTGTGAAACATTTAAAATGATCTTGAAGGTGTCAAAATGGAAATAAATGACTGAAGAAAAATGGCAACAGGACAGACACCAGCACAGTTTATGCTACAGACAGGCATGCAAATGAGGACTTCAACATACCATTCAATACACTAAGCAAATACAGCCAGAGGATCAGACAGGAAGAGCATACACACACACTCACACCACCCTTATACAAATGATTTGGTTAAAATATGCATAAACTGTGTTGAATACTTGCCTGTTCTGTGGTATGAATTAAATATGTAACTTTTGCATTTTCAGTGTGCCGACCCTGTGGTTGGGAACAGACTTTAATCATGATTACAATAATTTCAGCAATCATGTGTGAACATGAGCTTTATATATCGTTAAAGCTTTCAGTTGGTACTCGTTTGACTATTTTAACTTTAAGGAGTCACAAGTGTGCCAGCTAAACCCTGTTTCACAGTGTTTGAGGCTGGCTGTGCGTTAGCCTAACAGCTAAATGACACCCATCAATAATTTAGACTGAATGCCTGAGGTGCATTAACTCAACCATGTGATCATCCTCCAAATTAATATGTGGGTACAGGAGGGGACGGGGAACCTTTTGTAGCCTTTCAGGTTTGATTGATCCCGAGGAAAACAGGATTCTGCAAAAAGGACAAACTCAAAGTCGATCAGCAGTGCGCCAATGTTTGTTTTATTAAAAAAATAAAATACAAATGATGACCCAAAGAGTACACAGCAGACTTCTTACAAAACCAAAGCATTTTTTGTCTGTCAGTCGGTGCTTATTGTTTTTCTATGTTACTTATTTTGGCTTTTTTTTTCTTTTCTTTTTAAGTTATCAGGAAAACAATGTAGAAAGAGTCAAGTTGCTTTTTTTTTTTTTAAATAGATGCCTTCCCTCTCAAAAGTGGATGATTCCCATTTTGGCAAAAAAAAAAACAAAACAGAAAAGACAAATGACACAGCTCAAAGACATGTGCCTCTCATCTGTTTGGTATAATCTATGTTTGAGGAAAAAAAAAAATAGTACAGTTCACAGGTTTGATGGACACAATCACACTGAAATGTTTTCAGTACAGTGTTGAGGGCTCAGCAAAGTATTACTAATAATGGCTGGTCTGATCCACGCTGACTGTGTTCCATGTTGAGGTCTTTCATGTGTATGATATAGATAAAAAACTGTGGTTCTGTATTAACTGGGGATTAAAGGCAATGTTTACATATTTAGCCTGTAATTTCATGAAGATGGAGAATAAAAAGTTGAGGGACAGAAAATTGTCAAACAGACCAAATAATAATAATAATAATAATAATAATATAATCAACTCTTTCAGCATACTCAACTAAACGTGTTTTATCCATAGGTTTGTAGCAGAAGTGTTAGTGGTTGAAGGAAGCAGAGAGAAAAAGCCAAAACAATAAGAGGGGAAATGGTGTATATATATATATATATATATATATTTAAAAACTAGAATGGCATTTTAACTCAAGCCCCTCAATAGACACTCCCCACATCACTGTAGTAGCATTACAAGTATTTTTCTTTCTTTTTAAACAGTTTTTCTTAAACAAATAGATAAAACACAGACCAACCGAAGTAGATTACAGTATAGTGCAGTGCCACAAGTACTGAGAGTTATATTGCTTGTACTGGTGCCCACAAACAAAACGACAGAGAGACTGTAAAACAGGAGCGGAGGGGTCGCAGCATATAACAGTAAGCTCATGTTTTTGCATAGCCTAGATCAGTATGTTTCACAGAGATACGTGATGCAGACAAGAAATATCAAGACAGTAATAAAAGCGAAACAGTTGCTTTGGCTTTATGAGACTCGTGGGTGAAAAACGTGTCGATTTCAAACTACAGCGCTGCTCGCTAGAGGTAACCCTGAGAGTACGAAACAGTGATGAGCCGTGAAGCGCGAGGATGGCGAAGGCTTTGGTACGTTTACTCTGTCGACAAGCTGAGGAGCAGTGCAGCTGAGAATAAAACGAGCAGCTACAGTGTTGGCTACACTTTCTGTTATCGAGACGCGGCCTGGTGGAGGTTGGTGGAGTTGCAGCCCATAAACGGCCGACGGAGCAAAACATGCCACTGCTTTGGGGGGCGGAGGAGTGTGTGTGGGGAGGGTGGGGATCGGTCGGTTACGCTGCATCACGGATCTCTGTTGAGGTCGACAAAACAAGAAGGCAAAGTTAAAGCCTATAAAACAAACATATGTGGTCGTATACAATCAGCTATTAGATAAATACGAGCTCCACCGCAACATCACGAGACAGCCAAGTCCAAACGGTGATCACACGACTCGCTTCTGACCGCTTTCAGGTAGCGGATCTCGGCATCTGTGGCTTTTAAAGAACAACGCAGAACAGATGAATTGCTCGATGAAATGGGTGGACTTGACCAATATAGCCCTTACTCTCAGTAAACATGTGAAAACCAGGGAGGCATAGCAGTTGTTTGGCAATGGGGGAAAACCATGAACCTCCAGTTCACTCCTGCACAGAAGAAACCCCTATTCCCTTATTCATTCCCCACCACCCACCTGCCCTGCTCTGTTATTACCCTAAATATGTATACAAATAAGAAAAGATCCACCTTAGCAACAAACAAAAAAACTCTTCTGGAGTCAGTTTTTGTCCTTCATATGGAAAACAAGCCATAGAAAACAAGAACGAGGACATTTTCTACTCTTCTCATGCTTTCAACTAAGTATATTTCACTAAATAAACCAACAGCCACCTCAAAGAGAGGAGAAAAAAAAGCTAAAACAGACTGAGCACAAACTACATGGTCTGAACATACTCCGTCAGTGCCACAGCTAACTACACACAGATTTTAAAGTCACTACAACCGCCCCTCCAGCAACAACGCTGTACAGAACAGTTCAAATCTTGTGGCTTTTTAATGTTTACCCACCACATCCTTTTCTAAGACACAAGCACACTTTTCTCAGAAATGTATATTCTAGCTACAGCAACCATGCTTCAAAAACAAATGTTACCACAGGAAAAAAAACCCTGACTATTAGTCTACTTTAATAAGGCAGTATCACATCTGCTTCCACACAAAGAGGTTATAATTTATATTTTACTGTGCAGCTCCTTAATCATCACATTTGCTCTGTATAAATGCACCAAGGCAGCTCGAGGTGTGTTGGCAAACAAAATGTCTATTATCATTTATGCTAATGGGTGTGCAGCCATGCTCACAGTGTGACTGCTCCTCTGATAAGGTCGCTGTCGTGTTAGTATGGCTTCATGTTAAAGCACCGGCTCGACCGCACAGCACACGGACTGCGAACCTCTAACTAATCTTGTATAACGCCATCGCAGCAAGTTTAAAGACGCCCGTTTAAATGAATATGAAATTTCAGGCAGCTGTGCATTCACATATTTTCATTCTGCTCTCAAACGCCTGACGCAGTGGCCCACTTGTTTTCGTTTTTTTTAGCATGCACAGCCACAACCAGAACAGGCTGCTGCTAGCTGGGGGGAAATAACAAAACTGATTCATGAGCCACAGAGCTGCCTAAAATTACATATTTGTGCACAGAACTCAAGTGTTGTGTTCTGCTAACAGGGCCAACAAAGTTCAGTTCAAATGTGTCCTTGTCAGAGTTCATTCAGCACTGAAAATAAAGAAGCATTCAAAGCCGCATAAATATAACCAGCAAGCTTGAAATGCTAGCCTTTGTTCCCCGCTTTGCCAGATGGAAATGTCTTCTAACTCTATGGTATTTAAAGGAAAAATCAAAACACATGTGAAGATTGTGAAGCAACATCAGACAGACAGAGTCCATGTGAACTATTGTTACCCTTGGTGAAATCATCTAGAACAGAGAGTACTGCACCGCGATGTTAACTGGTGATAAAGGCCAAATGGAAGCAGGACTTGGTGAGTGCGTGTGTGAAGCAGACTGACTGACCTGAGTCTCTACACTGTGTCCGTTTGGACACGTGCTATCAGAGCAGACAAAAAGTTATTCACTGTTGTTCCAAAATAAACTCTCAATGAAATATTTACTAACTTATCAGTTACTGCTCATCTTGCAAAGACAAGAATTTCTAAATCTGACTACAACCGGTTTGACTGGCTATGTTCTAAACACAAACTGCACGGTGTGCGGCGCAAGCAGCATGTAGTCAGTCACAATAGAGTTGGCTGCTGTACCAACACCGAATTGACTGCAGAGGACAGCCTGCATCCATCTCAACCTGCTAATGCACCGGGCCCTCTGCTGCCAATGGAAAATACCACTGCAAATCCCCTCAAACTGCCAAGAGTTACAGGGGCCAGATAGAGAGCCAAGACAGCCTGAGCTAACAAGCTATCAGCACGACATGGCTCACACGGTCAAAACAACACAAAAATATTAGATCCAGACAGTTAATGTTAAACCTCAGTCCCTTTCTTTCCCCCAACATCGGGGCTCAAACCTGTGCAGTCATTATTACTGCAACAAAATAATAAGCAAAGCAAGTAGCACAAGTACTAGAAAATTCTAAAACGCTACTTTCGGCCATCCCCTTATTCACAAGGGGGTCGCCACAGACGGGTAGCTCCGCATGTTTGATTTAGCTGATGATTTCTTTCTGACAGAAACCCAAAAGAGATCCACATCTCCTCCCAGGATACAAATGAGCTCATATATAAACACATAAACCATGCCTCATGCAAAACACCAGTGCTTTTAATAGTAACCTCACCTCAGTCTTTTCAACCAGGCAACACAGCACTTTGAAAGATATACACACAGACACACATCTCAATGTTTCCCTACTGCACTGAAACACCCAAGCACTACAACCGCTACTACGACGCACTCCAGCAGCCCCTGTTTGGAGCTTTGTTGCAATTAAAAGTGACACCTGTGGCATTTACTGAAGCACAGCTGGCTACGAAATGAAAACCGCATTCTTTTATATGAACATCCAAACTACGTACTGAGCACGGCAATACAGAGCCACCGCAAGGCTTTTTTATTAAGTAATAAGTTTGGTGGCATCACTACTATGGATTTAATGCAATCTACAACCAGAGTGAGATTACATGTACACAATCCATAAACCGCTGAAATGCTGAGTATCCCAAATGTCATGGTGACTGTTGGTGACATGGCCGAGGAGACTGCACAAAGGGTGAGGAGAAAGTCGTCTAAAAAGGGGGTTCGTGTGCCATTCAGCATCCTAAGAATGAGCTAAACTCTTTGCTCTTCCACCAGTGAGTGTACGGCCTTCCTCGCTCGAGTCCCAAAGTCTTCACACCAGATGCTGGTTATCATGACCTCAGACGTGACATCACTACGCAGCTGTGCCCTGGATTTCACAGCAGAGGCCGCAGTCTTGCACGCACAGAGCTTTGGGGAAAATGAAAAATAATCTGTTGTTGATTTCATCCAGTCTCATCCTACAGTTTCGAAATGTTTGCTGCTGCTTCCTCTGCTTAGTTGTAGCTGGGGGGGGCAGATACGAGAGGAATGCAGCTGACTGCGTTGATACGCTCCTGAATAATTGCCTCCACCAGAGATGAAATGTCAGACAGGAAGGATGGTTGGAGATGTTTTGACCAAGGCCTGAAATATGACAGCAGGGCTAAAGGACAGTCACAATGACGTCAATTCTGGTTCACAATCAACTGCTGTCTTCTAACCACCCAATAACTTTCTCATGGTTAGTACTAAATAAAAAACACCTAATGGGGCTACAACATATAATTGCTTGCTCCCCAATTAGAAAAGCAAAGAAAAAAAATTGTCCACACATTACAATAATTTTTCCTAATCTGGAGCTATTACAGATTATTTATCATTATCTTCATCACCTAGATGTCATGTCTAAGTTAGTTAGTTTAGAGAATTAAAACACAAGACGGTCTCCCTGTGGTTGTGGAAGCTGCACCAGTTGGCTGGTTGGTTACGCTGTGGATCACACCACGTGGTCTCCATTGCTGGTGCTAGTCTGGCTAGGCAGCTCTGAGGCGTGCTCCTTCTGTCTTAAGGTTTGCTGTTGGGGGGCGGAGCAGCAGTCCCTCCCGGCGACCTTACACATACGCTGCTCCTCTTCGCTTTCCTCCTCAAGCCCTGAGCCTTCGTCTACGTCAAGCTGGCAAACGCACACCTCAATCCCTGAGTCGCCGGTTACGTGCCGACGCCGAGTCACAAGCTCCTCGTCCTCCTCTGCCGCCTCTACATTCTCCTCTGCCGCACACAGTACTTGGATTGGGAGCGACACCGCCTCCTGGTCTGATGACGAACCGGAGGCCTGACAGTCCACCCTCGGCTCAGCCTCGGCGAGGGGTTGTGGCACAGAAGAAGCGTCCGGCTGGTTCACTTGTGGAACGACTACAGGGATACACTCAGGAGGGTTTTCAGAGTAAGGAGGAGGAGGTGTCGGAGGGTGGCCAACTACCTCTTCATAGTCAGGAAGCTTGCAGTCATTCCAAAATCCTGAAAGTGAGCAGATACAGAAGCTTCAGCTTTGAACCATCATTATAATCAACTAACTTCAACTTTAATCTGCTAACTGGTAATCATAAACTTGTCAGGAAACACTCGCTACAAAACCAAATCTATCAAACTGTTGATTAGACAGGGAAAAAGTTCACTCTCAGTCACTTTTGGGTCTAAACTAACAACACTGAAAGCACACACTGGGATTCACACTCTGACTCCTTTTTAAGGCTTTCAACTTATATAAATGTGGATCCCACGAATCTATGAATTTATACAGAAATAGTTTCTTATTGTGCCGACACTTATCTGAAGTGAAAAGCAACTACACTACATGTTGCCAGGGTCCCTGTGCAAGTGAGTCACTGTCTAAGTATGCACACAGTTAAGAGTTGTGTTCACATTCTTGATATAAAGTCAAGCATGTTTGGAGTGGACTTCTGGTAAGTGTACACCTTATCCAGCTCCTATTTGTGATATCAGTGGACATATCATGTTCAAGCTGAGGTCCAGTGATCGCTGACATTAGAGCGGCATCTCTGCTGTGGCTCGGCCAGCTTCAGACCATAACTATGTAATACACGCTTTGTATAACAAGATTACCATGATCACCTTCTCCAATTCTAAGATTTTGACTTTGAGAAAAAGGCAGCTGCTTAATCTGTTAGGAGGAGGGGAGAACATGGAGTATTGTGTTTTAGGGATAAAGATTCCAAGATGTGCTGCTGCCCCATGGACATATTAGTGGACCTCTGTGGTAGAGAGCAGAGTTCAATGTACCACCTATGAATACAGAGCTTTGAGCAGTGCCCAGAGAAGCTGCAAATATGAAGCCTGTCAGATTTTCATGACTCTGAGAATAGCTAAATATCAGCTCAAGGATGAATTAGAGGTTCACAAACAACATCAGGTTGCAAAACCATAGAAACCTAGACGACTATGTTCAGCATGAGGAGGAAAACTACTCACTTAAATTGAGAGGTGGAGGTGAAATAAAGGAGCTGGAGGCTCCTTGGTAGGCCATGAGGCTGATCTCACGCTGGCGCTGCTCCTGCTGAAGACGCATTTTAACCCTCCGGTGTCGATAGGCACAACAGCAGCTCAGCATGATGATTAAGGTCCATACCAACCAGAACCCTGTGAGAAGGGACAAACTCAAAAGTCACTTCTCCAATGAGGGGATGTGGAGCACATAAGCCTTTTGGAGTTTTTTTAAAAAGTTTTTTTTGTTTATTTTCCTGCAGTGGAGGACTTCAGAAGTGAAGGAAATAATTTTGCAAGAGCTTCAAATACATGGTGGAAAATTCGTCACTGCTGATGGTGGTGTCTAAGAAGAAAAAACAGAGTTGACAAGAGTCTCTTTTCTGAGTTTAACCAGTTAGCGCCGAGCTTTGCCTAAATATTTTTAGGGAGCTACCCTAAAATGAGTACTTATAACTCTTTTTCACTAGTCAACTCAACTCTATTCAGTCTTTAGGGTTTTCCACTAGGTGGTAGTAACTGGTATGAGGCTCTTTTTTAGCCAGGGTTCCGAGCAATCTGAATCGATCCAAAAATGTGATGTCAACAGACTGCATGTCAGTTGGATAGTAAATGGCATGACTTGATGAATCAAAACCGCCATTTTTGAAACCCAGCAAAAATGCTGGGTTTCAAATGGCTACTCATAAACCAACACCGTGGTCCCAGAGTCTGAAAACTCAATCATAATGGAAAACGAACGAAACCGAGTTGCGTTGTATCGTGCTGAGTAGGTACTAGCTATTTGTCTTCCTCAGTGGACCCAAAAGAGACCTTTCAGGTGAGGTTCCTGCTAGAAGAACAGGCACTAAAGCTGCAGTATGACAAAAGTCACAGCCTGATTCTAAACATCTCCACATTTACGATATAAAGCACACCTAAAACATCCACAACAATTAAACATTGTCTTTCTGCACTTAAAATAAATCAGGACATTTTTTTTTCAGTCACAGGCTTATTTCACTTTTACTTCTCAGTTCACGTAGGTTCATTTCAACACTACATGAAAACTAAAACATTTAACAGCGAAAGTAAAGCCAACTCCAAAAGTTAAGCAGAGTCTGAAGAATTATACATACATATATTTATCTATCTATCTATCTATCTATCTGTCTATCTATCTGTCTATCTGTCTATCTATCACACATGGTGCTATGTATCTGAATTAAATGATGAAATGAATGAATAATCAGAAAATAGTAATTATACTTACACCACAGTTCATAGTAGTAAGTGCAGCATTCTGTTTCACCACAGCAGTACCCCATCTCACAGCGGTACTGCTCATTGTTTACCCCAAAACAGAACTCCTTCCCCTTAAATACACAAAGGTAAACAAAGCAAAGGCTTCAGTCAACAATCAATTGCACAAGTTAACAAGAAAATGTACAGCAAACTCTTGAGCAAATGCCCTGTTTCTAGGATTTCTGTTTAACCTGACTCACTCACATTTCTGTGCCAGTTTTCTGTCCTTCGTGTAACCTATATTTAGACATTTGAAAGTACACGCCACTTAAATGCACCCCCTTTATTCTGAATGCCATTGTAAGAGCAGCAGATATAGTGGTAATAGTAAAGTAATAACAATATACGTTATGTACTTATCATTTTCCTTTACGTTACAAAGTGTATCCAATTCAAAGCATTTAAGATAAGAAATAAGGAAAAGCTGAGGCTATAAAGACAACAACTGTTTATCATGAAGAAATAAGATTATGATAAGAGAAACCTTTACAAAAGCAATACAGCAAAATAATACAGATAACACCAGAAATGTAAAATAAACTCGGGGGTGGGCTGGTTGGTTTGTGACAGTAAGACGTCTGGCTATGTCTAATTTCGCTTTCATTTTCATGGTAAACTGTAATAAAATAATGGCATTGGGCTATCAAAAACTAGGCCGAAAAGCATTTCTTAACAAATATATTCACAGCAAATTGCTTAAAAGCTTTAAAAAGTTCAAATCGTTTCAGTTTGTTTGGTGAACATTTAAAATAGCGACTCTGTAAGGGAAGCCAGGCACAAACTGCGGCTGGCTGGCTGCCCCGTCTGTGCTGCTAAAATCAACAACTATGAATAAATACGTCCATTTGCCGGGTATCAGTTAGCAGCGGCTAATGTTAATCTCTACAACCTCGACCCAAACTGAGAAACAGACAAAATTAAATATTTCTCTCAAGCTCCCCCAGCTTCACCAACCCTCAAAACAATTTACTGTCGAAATTTTATCGAAAAACTTTTACTAACTGACGTCATCCCCAGCAATACAGTCGCGAGCCGTGCCCAGTTTCCTTTGTGGAGGAGACAAAAAGGCTCGACAGAAAGCGGCCTTCACCCAGCCCACGAGCAGCGGCCTCGCCTTGAAGCATCCGCCGACCCCGCGAGCTCGAGCGGAGGCTTACCTGCACAAGATAGGTCCCGGTGCAAAGAAGACCAACAATGGATCCCAGTGCTTTCTGTGCCATCTTTCTGGGTTGTCGGCCGTTGTCACGACGGGAATCATATAGCAGTCCGTCGAAGTGACGACTTGTTGCGGTGACAGCAGTCGGCTGTAGCTAGTAACGGTTCAACCTCTCGGACATGTTTTTGTTGCTCTCAATCTGAGGTACCGCGCTGGTACTGAGGCGAAAAGATGCGCAGCCTTGGACACCAGGGGGCGCTGTGTGTGCGGAACAGAGTCCGTCGCGGTGCAAGAGAAAGCATATGACTTCACAGAATGCGGGTTCAAGTTCACTGCGGAAAATGACTTCTTTCAAACAAACAGTAAAGTTTTGTTGATCAAATTTTATATATGTATGAGTAATCTCCAGCCAGAAGATAAGACCCCTCCAAGCAGCGATAATCAGCGCTACTCATTCATTATTTATAAGCACTGGGATTTGAAACTTTTTTTTCAATCAACATTTTGAGGTCAAAAAAGTTTAACGCAAAGCTTAACAAAAGAAATACCATGAATAAGCACCTATTCATTTCATAAAAGACAACCTTCATACTTACCATGAAAGTAAACTTGTTAAGGACTTTGACTTAAAAAAAAGTTTCCAAAATGAACATTTAATTTAAATAATTAATAGATTTAATTCAGCACTTTAAATCTTCCTACAAAAATAAGATATAGATGCTGATATTCTATAGTTAATTATTTGTACCTGCTTTTTTTCTTTCTTCTTCTTTGTATTTATGGTGAACTGGTTTTGTGCTGCTGGAACGAAATTATGGTCCCTCCCCAAGGGATGAATAAAGTTATATTCTATTCTGCTCTTTTTTGTGACATTTGCCCAAAGACCTGATACCATTTATTTTGGTCTTATTTTGTAGCACTGACTTTAGTGAAAAAGACTATAGAGCATTTTACCATATTAGGCTGATGAGATAAAATGGAAGTTCTCAAATTATTCAGTTTAATTTTATTTACATAATGCCAAATCACAACAACAGTCACCTCAAGGTGTTTTATACTGTAAGGTCAGAAGCCTACAATAATAGAGAAAAATCCCAACAGTCACACAATACCTTATGAGCATTTGGCGACAGTGGGAAGGAAAAACTCCCTTTTACCAGGAAGAAACCTCCAGCAGCCATCTAGGGCAGCCATCTGCTGCAACCAGTTGAGGGTAAGAGAAGGACAAAAGACATATAATAACTAATGATTGAATGTAGAATGGTGCATAAACTCATAGTGTGAAAAAAAAAGGTGAGTGAAGATTTATTTAATTTGTATGCTATTTTTTGTATTCTAATCTTTGAAGTCTGTGGTTCACAATTATTGCTAATAATAATAATAACGATAAAATAATGTAAAATTTTATGAAAGTTAACTCAAAATCAGGTTTGAAGTGATTAACCAGAAAAAAAAGCAAATTAACTATGTATGTTCTTTTTATTTTCTACTTTTATTTTTTAACCTCGCGCCACAGGAGCCCTCTTGCCCAGCGTTCCAGAAGATTGAGCGATCACGTCGTTTACGCTGACGTCACCGTTTCCGTAGCAACAGAGCCTGACAGTCGTTCTGCCAGGAGGCCAACAAGCACGTGTGGTCAGAGAAGATGTTAATCCACTCACACACTGAGCGAGGGCCACAAAACCACCCGAGAAAAACATGGTGAGTTATAATGATTCACGGCCGCAGCGGGTTTTGTTTGCGTTGGGCAAAAGGACTTTAGTTTGATTTGTTTTATATTTAAAACAAAATTACTGAAATTACTCTTGGCACCTGGTAAACATTGGTGACAATGGTCTAAATACAGTTAAATGATGTGTCACCTTTAGCCAAATACTGAGGGCAGTGTATGTGATACTGGTCATTAAACTGGCCGTTTTATCCCTGAAACTTAATACGTGTTTCACTTCCAGTCGTTGATATAACTCAAACGTTTTGTTTGCCAGTGCCAGGATTAAACTATATTTATTTATTATATCTGTTTATTTAAATTTAGACTTGGACTTTCTTTTTCAACCCAGTTGATTTTTACCTATATATAACTATCACCTTAAGGTACTTATTGTAAGGCAAAGAGTTTAAACCAGGTATGGAGACTATGTTGAAAGGTAAACAGAAACACTTTTATAATTTTATAAAAACTAAATTTATATATGGAGTACTTTTCAAAATTGGAGCTAAAACAGACTTTATAGGGGGAGTAAAGCTGACGTAAAAGAGATGGAGAGGGAAATTTATGATAACACAAAAATAAAATGCACAAATTACAAAAAAAGTAGTGGCTCTGAAGATGGATTTGCTATGTGTATTATTTTGTCTTTTCAGAGCAGATTTTGTATGGTGAGGGGTCACTGTTGCCTTAAAAGTAAATAGCATGAGCCAAAGCCTTTCCTTATTTCCCTCCTCTGGACAGAAGCCACTCAGTAACTTACTAACCTCGGCTGGCTAAAGAGGTCTTTAGGGCTGGTACATTTATAGGTCACTGCAGCTAAATCCTCACACTCTAGATGATTCTAGCTGTTGGGTGAGAGTGTAACATGCTGTGTGTACTGTGTCATGTTCCTGTGACAGACTCTGCCAACAGGGTGGTGTACTGTAACTGGTGTGAGCTGAAAACGATTTGGTCCAGCAGCTTATTCAGGCTTTATCTGATAAAACTTAGGCCATGACTCTGGAAAAGCAAGAAAATGCTTGCAGGTTCCTCAGTGTTATGACATCTCGTAAGCTGCTGTTCCTTTAAGACTAATCAGCTCTAATATGTGCTTTGATCCTCCTGCAGGGCCTTTTGTCCATCCTTCGGCGGCTGAAGCAGGCTCCAGAGCAGGAAGTACGCTTGCTGCTGTTAGGGTTGGATAATGCCGGCAAGACCACTGTGCTAAAACAGCTGGCAGCCGAAGACATCAGCCACATCACCCCCACACAAGTACACACATCCACACTCTCTCACATGCACAGAAATGTAGAGTCCTGTCATTTTTAGAGCCTTTGAATTCTCCTGCTGCAGATATTAAGCATCTGCGATACCTTTCTTAAGGGCTTTAACATCAAGAGCGTGCAGTCCGCAGGCTTCAAGCTGAATGTTTGGGACATTGGAGGTCAGCGCAAAATCCGACCATACTGGAGGAATTATTTTGAGAACACAGATGTGCTGGTACATACGTAGTCTTCATAATATCATTTTTTTTCTGTGTTCTGATCAGTTTGTTAATATCTACGACTGTATTGTGTGCAGATCTATGTGATTGACAGCTCAGACAGGAAACGGTTTGAAGAAACAAGTCTGGTGAGCTCCATAAATACTTTTACATTTTAGGGAGGCACAGTAGTCATCTTCTGATAAGGTTGAAGGTTAGAAGGCATTCAGGAGCTGTTGGAATTAGAAGCTGATCAGGGATGATCGGCAGTATGATGTTGTGTTGCTTCTCAACACGTCTCAGTGGTTTTTCTGTTGGCAAATACCATTAGAACAAGTGTATGTGTCTGCACCGTGTTACAGGAGCTAGCTGAGTTGCTGGAGGAGGAAACGCTCGCCACGGTGCCTTTGCTAATCTTCGCCAACAAGCAGGACCTGATGACAGCTGCTCCAGCGTCAGAGCTGGCAGAAAGTCTCCGTCTGCACACAATACGGGATCGCATGTGGCAGGTGCAGGCCTGCTCGGCGCTCACTGCAGAGGGAATTCAGGTAAACATAGAAACGGACACAGTCTGCAAACACAACATCGCACACACAGCAAGGGTTGGGATAGATGCCTGCAGCTGCTTTCGGAAGTCAGGGAATGCTGGGATTTATTTGACCTGTCCTGGTCTTAAAAAACGGGCTAGAGGGACTGAAGTTTGTTTAAGTAAATCACGTTACGATGAAATAGAATCATTTAACCGCGTTGTGGTAGATTTCTAAACACAACCTATAATACCTTTAGATAGCAAAAATAAAATCAGTACAGTTCAATGGAGTAAAATGACACAAAGGAAGCACAATAAAATAGAAATATGCAGAATAATTAATGAATACAAATCTAAATATAACACAAACTTGGATATATGTTCTTTTTTGTGGCAATGGAGCAGAGACAGATGTTTAAGGAGGTGTTCCACTGCAGAGGGTGGTCTCAATTATCCATGATGGCCTCATATCCTCCTCCCCAACATAGCCACAGTCATTTAGAAGACCTCGGCATCAGCTAATGAAGGAATCCAAAGTGTGCTGAATTCAAACAGGGAAAAGAGGGAAAAGAAGCAGATTACTTAAGATCCATTATTCCTTTAATTACCATCATAAAACACATGCTTGTATAAGAAGATTTCCCAATCTGGGTAGATCAGTTATGTCACCTTTCTAAAGACTGAAGAAGCTCAGCTGCTTTGTGTTATCATGTGCATTAAAACAGTTTGCTACTGCCAGTCTGCATGTTTCACATCACTGCTTTGCCTCAATTTCATGGGTGGGATGGTGATGTGTGGAGCGTGGAGTTTGCATGCTCTCCCTGTGCATGTTCCTTACACCTAGCACACACATGCTAGGCTAAGTATTTTTTCCAAATTGCCCATCTGCAGTGAGTAAAGTCGATTGAGTGCTTGAAGTGTACAGGATGAAGTGCTGTGTGACTGCGTGCTTAAAAATATGACTTGTATTCTTATCAATTTTAGTGGCGGTAAGTAATCAGTAGCACAAAAGTCCTTGTAAGAAATGATGTTAAATGCATAAATAATAAATCACAATGGTTGTCTGGAAAATATGATCAAACAGCAAAAAAATCACACAGTACTTCTGGAGATATATTTTGAATGCTATTTTTAGGTCCACTTCATTTTTACTTCTCTAATTTTCCACAATTAAAAAAATATATAATTCTGTTTATTTATTTATGTTTTTTTCAGGATGGGATGACCTGGGTTTGCAGAAATATAAAGTTTCGGAAGAAGCCATGAAAAATGGCATCTTACACCTGGAATATCCAGTGTTTCATGTTCAGGACAGGAGACAACATCATGTGGTAATTCTTAAAGACACTTGTGTCTTTTTTTCCTTATGTGGCATCAAAATAATTAGTCACTGTCAGCACAGTTGTCCAACACAACCCTCAGCCCTGTATTACATATCTTAAAATGTACATACTGTAAATAGGCTGTTTTATTTAAACTGTACACACTTTTTTTTTAAATAATTAAACCATGTTAACTCAGTGTTTTGTAGACAATGTGTTTTTTTTTTTA